AAAAAATATATATCAAAAAAACTTGCATTTAGAGCCAGGCACACTGGTTCACAGCTATATTCCAGCTACTCAAAAGGTGCAACTAACCAGGACACCCTAAAGCCACCAGCACAACCTGCTTCAGCATTGTTTACCATAGCCAAGTTATAAAATCAACCTAGAAGCCCCTCAGCGGATGAATGGATCAAGAAAATGTGGTATATATACACAATGGAACTCTTCCACCAGAAAAAATAACATTGTCTCATTCATAAGGAACTGAAAAGACTTGGAAAAACTTATACTAAGTGAAGTAAGTCAGACCCAAAGAGACATAAGCTGCATGGTTCCCCTCATTTGTAATAACTAGAATGTGCCTATAAACCAACAAGTAAGCCCAATGCACAGTAAAAGATAAGTAATAACACATGGATATGATTAATTAAACAGCAATGTAAACATTCACACAGAGAGAAAAAGGAGGATATTCTTAGGAGAGGATCAAGGGCTCAATAGCTATGTGCATATGATCATATAAAATAATTATCAAAATGAACTCCTAGACATGGAAACAAGAGCTTTTTTATACAGTTTGTGGTTCTTTTTTTTCCTTTTCTTTTTTCTTTGGTTTATTCCCTCTGTCACTGTTTTTGATTTCTGTACCCTTTGTCTTGTATATAAGTTTATGTGATTTGGGGAGGGGGAGGGCAAGTACAGAAATGGTGAGACAAAGGATGAACCAATTCAACAGTGAAATCCACTAGACACTATGTTGGAAATAAAGTATTCAGCTTTGGGAGGAGCAAAGTTAGGAGGAGAAAAATGGAGAACATGAGGAAGGGAGTAACATTGTTTGAAAAGAAGTATACTCATTACCTGGCTTATGTAACTGTAACCCCTCTATACATTACTCCTCTATACAATAAAATTTAAAAAAAAACACATAACAAGCATGGTGGTGCACACCTATAGTCTTAGCTACTGGGGATACAAAGGTAGAAGCCAGCCCAGACAAAGTTAGTATGAAATCCTTTTGTTTTGAAAAACAAAGTAAAAAATCAAGAAGGAATTGGGTGTAGCACATATGGTAGAGCACCTGTCTAGCAAGCATAAGGGATCTGCATTCAATTCATAAAACTGAGATGGTTGGGACAGTTAAATTCATAGAAAGAGAAAACAGAGGGATGCTCACAAGGAGTGGGGTAAGGGGGGGGGTGAGGAAAGGGAAGGTGTCCATCAAAGTGTATAAACGTGCAGATGTGAGTAGATGCCAGGAACATAAAGTCAGCATGATGACATAGTTCACCTTACTCAGTTGTTTACGTAAAATTTCCTTAAATATTCTCATCATAAAGCCAAGCACATTTTGTTTTAAAAGTGGGAGGTACCCAGATGCCCCTCCATAGACAAATGGATCCAAAAAATAGGGTATATGTACACAATGAAATTCTACTTCTCCATCAGAAAGAATAATAATGTACCATTCGTGAGGAAATGGAAAGACTTGGAAAAAAAATTATATTAAGTGAAGTAAGCCAGAACCAAGGAAACATAGGCTGCATGGTTTCCCTCATTTGATCTGTGGTAACTAGAATGTGTCTATAAATCTACAAGTAAACTCAAAGTAAAAGACACAAAATACACCGAGACATGATAAATTATGTAGGTCTCTAGACATTTATATGGTGAATCCAAATGAGGATGATATTAGGAGGATCAGAAAGGCTCAAAAGCTATGTACATCCAATCATATACAATTATATTTATCAAAATAAACTCCAAGAAAAGGAAAAAAGATTTTTTTCCTTTGTTGCTGTTTTTGTTTCTTGTACCTTTTGTTTTGTTTTATCTGTTTAATGGGGGTAAAGAGAGACACAGAATAGATGGGACAGAGGTCAAACAAATGTAGCCGGGACACTCACTAGGCACTATGCTGAAAATGAACAATATAACTTGTGGGTGGGCACAGGAGAGAAAAACAGGGAGAAAGCAAGGGAAAGATTAACACTGTTCAAAAAGAAATGTACTAATTACCTGACTTATATAACTGTAACTCTGTACATCACCATTATAATAACAATATACATATAAGTATATATTTTAAAGAAACTAAAAAGGGGAGAGGTAACTAGCTGAGATGAAAGACATGTCAATTAACATTAATGAATGTAGTATTTATTTCACAAAATACAAGTATGTCAAATAATCTCACTGCATACCTAAAACCTGTGATTTTTGCCTATTATACTTTATTAAGGTGTGTAGAAAACTTAACTATGTATATTTTTAAATTATCTTAAAATGGACCATGAACTTAAAATATAAAATCTAAACCTATCAAACATTTAGAAAAAAAAGCACAAAACAAATTGTCAAAATGCAGGGATAGACAAAGAATTCTCAAGTTTGATAACAACCAAAAGCACAACATACTAAGGTAGTTTAGTAGGTAAGCTGGACAATATTAAAGTTTTCTTTCAAAAAATACTATCAAGATAAAAACACAAGCTACCTACCAGCAGAAAAATATTTATAAATCACACATATGTGAAAAGACTACTGTCTAGAATATAGGAAGAGCTCAGCAATAACGAAACAACCCACTTAAAGATTAGTCATGTCGAAAATGAACTTTACAACTTTGGTAGGAGGGGAGAGGAAGGTTGGGTCAGGAAGTAGGGAGAGGATGGGATGGGAAGGGGAAACAAAGGAGAAGGCTACAATACTTGATAAGAAATGTACTCATTATCTTGCCCATGTAATTGTAACCCCTCTGTACAGTATTTTCACAATAATAAAATAAAAAAGATTAGGCAAAGACTAGGGTTGTATCTTCAGAGGTAGAGAACAAAACTATAGGTATGGGTCTCTGAATTCAAATCTAGCACTAGGAAAAGAAAAAAAAAGGAAAAGAAGGGGAAAAAAAGAACTGAGGCAAAAAAAAGTTGGCCAGGTATTTCAATTTAAAAAAAGATACACAAATGACAAACAATGCATTGTAAAGATGTTCTTACATTAGCCATTAGGGAAATGTATATTAAAACAACTATCAGAGCTAGGCACAATTGGGAGGTGGAGACCAGGCCACTAGCTGTAAAAAGTTTGTGAGACGTCATTTTAAACAATGGCTAGGCATGCTGGAACGTAACTGTAGCCCCATGACATAGGGAAGCACAGATAGGATGATCATAGTCCACGTTGGCCCAAGCATAAAGCAAGACCCTATCTCGATAATAACCAAGGCACAATGGAGCTGAAGGCATGGTTTATGTGGTAGGACATGAGTACCTGTCTAGAAAACACAAGGCCCTCAATTCCATCTCCAGTTTCACCCAAAACTACAACAAACAAAAATAAATTAGGTAATTCTACATATCTGTTATATTGGTTCAAATAAAATACAATAATATGAAGCCAGGCACAGTAGCTCACATCTATAATATTGGCTATTCCAGAGGCTAAGATTAGGAGAATGACGTTTCAAGATCAGAGTAGGCAAAAAGTTCAAAATCAATAAAAAGCTTTGTATGATGGTACACACCTGTCATCCCAGCTATGTGGAGAGTATAAATAGGATGATCAGGGTCAGTAAAAGGCAAGACCATATTTGAAAAAAAGACAAAAGCAAGAAGGGCTCAAGGCAAGTCTCAAGTGGTAAAGCTCCTACCTAGCTAACACAAATCCCTTTAGCTCAAATTGGAGTACCATCAAACAAACAAATAAGCAAGCTAAAATAATGACAACACCAAATACTGGTGAAGATGAAGAGAAACTGAATCAAGTGCATATTATGAGTGAGCATAAGTAATACTACAACTTAGAAAACTAAATCTGCTATTACCATAGTATTTCAATCTCACCTAGAAAATTATCCCAGAGGAATTATAGTTTATGTTCATACAAAAATTTGCATATGACTATTTAGAGCACCTTTACTTGTAAGTCAACAACTAAAAATATGAATTGAGTTTTACAAAAACAAAAAAAAGGTATGTTCAGGTTCCTAACCACCTAAACCTCAGATTATGACTTCAATTGGCAAAAAGCCTATTGCAGATATAATTAACTAAGATGGCTTCATCCTGAAATATTCTGGTGGTATAATAGAAGAAATGGTGTGTCATTCACTGGAATAAGGAATGCTAAGAGAAAAGCAGGTGAGCCTGGATTGGGCATATATTAAGATTTTTAATTTAGTCTTACATGGGGAATATAGGTTCTTTTTTGTTCTGTTTTGTTTGTATTTTTCCTTTTTTCTTAATTAAGTACTTGAACAAAGAGGTTACAATTCTTTAAGTACGACCATGAATACCAGGCTTTCTGGTCAATATCGACATTTCCACCATTCTCCCCACATTTTCCCCCTCCCATCCCTACCCTCAAGTTACACAGTTCAATATTTACACAATGGACAATACTATAATTACTGCAGTTGCTCAGCCTTTCCCCTCCTTTTGTGTGCCTAACCCTCGATGGGTACTTAGTACCTAGGGTTGCTTTAGTAGTAGTACATGTTGGATACTACTGTTATTCAAAAGAGGAATATCAAGTTGGCAAGAAATCTGAAGAAGAATAAATGTGGGCCATCTTTAGGAAAGCAGGTAGAGGAGTTCAGGAAGAAGAGACACAGAGCCCAGAACTATGCCTTTGGGACCTCCAGAACAAATTGGCTAAGTAGAAAATAATAAGTTTGCAAAGGAGTAGCTGCAAAGATTGGAGTAACCTGGCACTGTGTTCCAAATGCCACAAGAAAAGAAGGTACATGAAGTCAGCAAAGTCAGATACAATAAAGAGGTCAGGGAGCATTTCTACTAAATTTAGCCATCAATGTAAAAGGTCATTGGTATTCTTAGAAATTCCTATTTCTATCGTGATAGGGCAAAAGCCAGCAATATATGGGTTAAAACCGAAGCAATAATTGAGGAAATTACTGAGCACAGATGGCACAGGTACTCTTAGAATATGTTTAAACTAAAAGAACAGAAGGCAAAGACAGGAAATGGGAAAACATAGAGATTACAAAGTGGGGTGAGAATCTGGAGTACACTGTACTAGCTCAGTGGCAGAGCACTTGTTTAGCACACTCAGGTCCAAGGTCTGATGACTAGCCCTGAAAAAGAAAAGAATGGGGTGGTTTAAGGGAAAGGTTGGTGTGTGTGTGCGTGTGTTTCGGTCAAAACTTAAAGTAAGCACCAAGATCCAGTTAGGGAAAAAAGCAGAGGACAGTGTGTGTGTGTGTGTGTGTGTGTGTGTGTGTGTGTGTGTGTGTGTATGTGTGTGTTTCAGTCAAAACTTAAAGTAAGCACCAAGATCCAGTTAGGGAAAAAAGCAGAGGACAGTGTGTGTGTGTGTGTGTGTGTGTTTCGGTCAAAACTTAAAGTAAGCACCAAGATCCAGTCCAGGCACCATCAGCTCATGCCTGTAATCCTAGCTACTCAAGAGGATGAGATCTGAGGACTATAGTTAAAAGTTATTCTGGGCAGAAAAGTCCATAACATTGTTGTCTCCAATTAACCATCAAAAAGCCAGAAGTGGGGCTATAGCTCAAGTGGTAGAACAGTAGCCTTGGTCAAAAAAAACTTAGCAATAGCACCAAGCCCCTGAGTTCAAGCTCCAGGACTGGCACCATCAATCAATAATAAACATTCTGGTAAAATAAAATAGATTTATTTTTTAAAATCACAAGAAGTGGACTTAAAAAAAAAAACAACCTTTTCTGAAGTCAGGGAAAAGATTGGATAGGAATGTGGTCAGGTTTAGATATCTATGTTACCAAATTTCTTTCTTTTTTTTTTTTGCAATCTACAAACCTGTCTTGCTGACTTGTCCAGTGTCTAAGTAGCTAGGATTACAAGTATGAACTACTTTACCCAACACTATTTTTCAGTGAGTTTGTTTCCTTCCTTCTAATATAATTGTGTCACTATTTAGGTAATATTTGCCATTTTGTAACAAATAAATTTACAGTGCTCCTGGTAAAAATATATGTAGGAAAGTAAAGACAGCTTTTAACAAAGGATTCTTCACACTTAAAACGTTGAGATGTATAATTATTACAGTATATAAGAATATAGACTACCATTTCCTAGGCTACACCATATTTTTCTAGAGTTCTAGAGAATAACTCAACTATACAAAGTTTAATACAGAACATGATATTTTCCATTTCCATTATATTTATAGTACCATGTAACAAGTATTTACGTAAAATCACATCAATTAAACTTTACTCCTTCAAATTGTTTTTTCATTTACTCACTCAGACTTTTTTTCACAGGTCTTAGAAGACTCTTCAATTCTTTTCTCTAGCTCCAGGACAGTCTCTTCCTTGTTTAAAAGCAGTTGTTGGGTCTGCATAAGTTCTTCTTCTAATGTTTTCACCCTGGAAAGGAATGTTTCAGCATTATCATGTTAAATATGCCAACTGCTTTACATAAACCAAATGAGCATTCATATATCTAAGGCTACAATACCTAAACTAGTTGTGAACTAGAATTTAATTAAAATGAAGGCAATTGGTTGCATTAGTCATATTTCAAGTGCTAAGGAGAAACATGTAACTAGTAGCTACCTAATTGGACAGCACAGAAAATAATATTTTCAATACTCGAAGTAAGTACTCGTGAGCAATGTTGGCTTATAGCCTTATGATTACAAGAGAAAAAGAACCTAGTACCAGTGGTTCATGTTATAATTCTCGCTACCCAGAAGACTGAGATCTGAGGATCGATCCCAGTTTGAAGTCAACACACACAAAAAAGTCTGTGAGACGCTGTGGTATTTTATCTCCAATAAAATACCAAAAATGCGGTTGAGAGGGGCTGTGGCTCAAGTGGTAGAGAGCTAGCCTTAAGCAAAAAAAGGTAGGGACGGTGCCCAGACCCTTGAGTTTAAGGACAGGCACAAAAAAACGAAGAGAGAGAAATTGAAACAAAGTTGGAAGAAAAGAGAAGCCCAGTAAATCACTGTCTACGGGTAGAATTCAGCCATGAATCCATGTTGTCTCAGGGCATGTTATTGTTGAAGCTTCTTTATTGTTGCTTCAACTTTAATTGTGTGTGATAGATCAATTTAGGTTCGTCCTAGGTACGTCATATGCACAGACACTTATCCATTTTATCCAATTCTTCATAACCATTCAGTGTTTGAATAAAAGTTTTCCAAATAATAAATAAAGTAAATAACTGCCTATTCTGTCACAAAAGGAGGATATATAGAAAAGATGGTACTTGCTGTTTTCATAAAACCATATGTTGGCATTCTGACTTTGCCCATTGTTAGCTGAGACTCAGGGCAAATTCTTAAACTTATTGATTTCTTTTCCTCATTTGGAATTTTGGTAGAGTAATATCTGCCTTACCATTGTTGTGAAGATAAAATGAACTAATATACTACATACACATCATAACTTGACTGGCATTTGCTAGGCATCAAATAATGGTTATTGGGATAATTTGCATATTTCATTTCATTTCATATTCATAACAATCTTTTTTTAATTATATTTTATTATCTTTAAGTAGTTGTAGACAGGAATTACCATTCAACTAATCAGTTTAGGAATACATTGCATCTTCAATGATGTTACCCCTTTCATCATTCTCCCCCTCTCGTTACATTATAAGATAGATAGTTATGCTTATTTTAAAGTAAAAAATGAGATTCCATAGTATGTGATAGTTGGAAAGTTATTTATATACCTATATATTAAAGAGAAATATTTTCTATATTAGACTTCAAGATAATTTAATATACATAATAGGCAATCACAGACCAAATAATTTGGAGTTTTATGAAATTATTCAGCACTTAATGTAAACTGAAGAAATAATTCTATCAATAAAACTAATATTCCTATGGCACACATGAGAACATTTAAGTCCAACCTTTCAATGCAAGACATGAAGTCCAAAAATACAAAGAATGTATTATAATCTACATAAAATTTAAATTTATTTGAATTAAAACATCTAATAAGTTGCTTCAAGAGCAAAAATGAGGGTGTGACCATAATATTTACACTGCAAAATACAAGCAAAAGTGTCTTTACTGCAGAAAAAGCATTAGGAAGAAGATTATATAACAGGAAAACGGACAAAAAACACAAATGGAAGTTCATCAAAAAGAAATTCACAAAGTCCTGGGGCAAGATGATAAAATAGAAGTAACTTGTTACACGACACTGCAAGTGGAAACAGTCAGAGAAAATCACATGGAAGGGGAAACTAAGGAGGAGGCAACAATGCTTGATAAGAAATGTACTCATTACCTTGCTCATGTAATTATAACCCCTCTGTACAGTATTTTCACAATAAAAAATACTTATTAATAAAAAAAGAAGAAGAAGAAAAGCTCCAGGTAAAAGGAAAACTAAGTAGCACAGACAAGCAGGAAAATAGCTTAGAGCAAAGTACAAAGCAATCCCCAACTCCAAACATCTCCCAAGCAAGGGGAGAGGAATCCAATGTCACAAGTCCAAGGTGAAAAGGGCAATATAGGCATCCCCTGTAACAACAGCTGCCTACCAGTCCTGGCCAGAGGAGAAACCCATGGTAAGTCTTAAATGAAGGATATGGATTTAAGAACTCTGAAACTGACTCCTGCTTTACAAATAAGCTTTTAAAAACCATTACAGTTGGGTGTTGTTGTCTAAGCCTGAAACCCCTAATTGCTAAGGAAGCTGAGATCTAGGAACTGCAATTCAAAGCAAACCAGGGCAAGATAGTCCATAAGATTCTTATCTCCTCAGTCCCTGAATTCAAGCCTCAGTCTCAGCAGACACACACATGTACACAAATATATACACATATATTAGGTATACACACACACACACACACACACACACACGCCATCTCTGAATGCTATATAACCAAAAATCATCTTGAGAAGGTTATGGTTACAAAGTAAACTACTCTGGAACTCAGAAAACAGGGAACATTCAATATTCAGGGTACCCAAAGGCATCCTTAGAGTGACAAGGTGGTGACAGCCAGGACACATAGTCATAGAGTAAAGGAGGTTCTGTCCCAAATCTGCTCAAAGATTTAAGAATAATGCAGACTGGCCTATGGAGGGCACAGTGCCCAATCATCCTGCCCTCTCTGAGGAGTGAGTGGTCACATGGTTTGGTGGGGGAACAGATTTGAGAATGTCAACACCAAGGCAGATGGTTTGTTTAGCTCCTGTGCAATCCACTGGCCAGCATACAAGTCAGCATTCTGTTTGCTTCCTGCCTTCCTTCTAAGGCATCGAGGGAGGTGATGCAGCTTTTACCATGCTCTGGCATACAGACTAAAGGCTCTGGAGTGAGAGTGAACCTGCCTACTCCACAGCTCAGCCATGCAGGTGGTGGCTCCAAGTGCAGGCACCAAAAGCACTTACTAACACTTTAGTGGACAACATGCATTTAAGTCAGCCAGGCAAGAACAGGGCAGGACTCAGCCTAAATATGGCTAAGCAAGCATTCTACCACCTGAGCCTTGAAGACCTCAGTCCCTTTGAGGGGAGCCGCGTGTAACTACAGCAGGTCTCAGCAGTACCCCACTAACCTCATACTGGATGATTCCAATATCGAAGGACTCAGAAAGAAGTTTCTCTAATCCAAGTATCTTAGCTAGCAAGAACATTTTTATTTCATTATTTTTCTTATTTCATCTAATTTTAATCTTTAGATTTTTCTTTTCCTTTCTTCTTTCCTTATCTTTTTCTTCCTTTCCTTTCTTTCCTTTTCTTTTTCTTCCTTTCTTTGTGTGCCAGTACTGCAACTTGAATTTAGGGCCTGAAACTCTCCATGTTTTTTTTCTTTTCTTTTATAGCCAGTACTCTACCATGTGAGCCACACTTCTAGCTCCTTTTTTATTTTTCTTCTTCCTCCTTTCTTCTTTTTTATTACTATTTTTACTTTTATCAATGTTTACATTTTCATTCTACTTCTACATTTATGTTTTCCTCTTTCTTTTCTATTGTTACCCTGTTGTACTTTTCTAAGTGGTTTTTACAGTATTTCTATATCTCATTTGTTTCTATGTTGGTACTGTGGTTTGTCTTCTCTGAACAGTACTAGGTTAAACCCAGCATCTGAGGCAGTATGGTTTGACACTTAACTACACATCAAGCCCAGTTGAGACAATTTACCTCTTACTCCAGCCATGACTGCATCCCTCTTACACTTTAACAGCTACTTGAACTTCAAAGATAAGAGCCGGAAAAAAAAAATAAACAAACAGCTAACAACCCAACCCCAAGTAAGTACATCAAGAAGGGGCCTGAAATCCTGCTCTCAAGAATTCACCCCAAGCAGTAGGAAGGTGTAATAACTATTGTCAACATGGCACCTATATGGGATGCAAACATAGGTCACACCCACCTGTTGCAGTATGTGCATAGAGGACTAATCATGAAGAATGTACCCCATGTACTCTATTCCCTCCCAAAATTATCAGAGGAACCCTACTCCTTTGGGACACACAGAAGGTTCCAGCAGAGTATGTAAACTATCAAAATCCAATAATCAGAAAGAAACTACAGGGAACCTACATTATAAAATCCATTTGGAATTAAACTCAATACTACACAACAAATCAACATATCGTTTCATTCTTAGAGAAGAATTTTCACTAAGAAGACACAAAAGTAGAATTAACTAACCATGCCAACAGATTTTTAACTCCATCTTATAGCTTTAAACATTCTTACTTTATGTGTACTTTTGGAAGTCTTAATTATATGTGAAGTTTTCCAAACCATAATAACACAAAAAAAAGAAAAAGAAAAACACTAAGAAATAAATAAGTGCTTGTGTCTTATCAGATAATAATTAACTTAAATGAAATTAAGCAAGCATATCTACAGAAATTACATTAACATGTGAAAATGTGGCAAATTCAATTATATGGAATAGTTCACATTGTCACTACCAGATAAGGAATTATTTTATCAAAATTAGAGACCATTTTCAGAAGCTACATTTCATCCCCAGGCTCCAATGGACTTGTTTTGTGGTTTTTTTTGTTCCCATCCTAGGGTTTGAACTCATGGGCTAAGCCCTGTCCCTGAGCATATTTTGTTCAAGGCTAGCAGCTTATCACTTGAGCCACAGGTCTACTTCCAGGATTTTGTTGGTAAACTGGAAATGAGAGTCTTACAGACTTTTCCACCCAGGCTGGCCTTAAACCATGATTCTCAGATCTCAACTTCCAGAGTAGCTAGGATTACAGGCATGAGCCATAAGCATCTGGCTTCCAAGTGACTTGTTAAACAGATATAGATTGACAGACAGCAGACAGATAGACAGACAGACAGACAGACAGACATAGATTCTCTGTTGTGTAGAAATCTATGTTTCAGATAGACGAATACATAGATACATTGATATGATCTTAT